TATATACATGTATATACAAAATTATATATGTATATACAAAATTATGCATGATTAAAGTATGGAAAGCAATTGAATGTTGTATGTAGTTTTCAGATTGCAATAAAGGACAAGTTAGCAAAACAATTAAGAAAAATAAATATGAAAACGCGAACTTGAACTTTCCTCCTGATATGTCTATCAACGACGTAATGGAATTAACTTTGAGAGATCATATTTTGGATTTTGAAGACAAAATTAATGCAGGTTGTCTAGGATGTCTTAAAATTATTGATCGTACTGTCTGGAGGAATGCGATCAATCAGAGAGGTTATGACAAACAGTGTGACAAATTAATGTGCGCTGGTAGTGAGATAGATATAGATGCACCACCTAATGCTCTTATAGACAAGATAAAGAACGAGTTTAAACATAGTAGACCCGGTACCCCCGATTCCGAAGTTGGAAGTATTAGCATAAAGACTTATAAGGATCCAGGAATGTACTTAGGTTTACCTGGTGACGATGAAATGATGCCTGACCAAAGGCAACAGGCGACTATCAAACAATTAGCTTGTTCCATTTTGCAATTATCTCACGCTATAGAACAGAGGTACTTACAGAGACCACTAGGGCCCGATCAAAAGGACAAAAAATGGTCGGGCGAGGAAACACGAGAGAAATGGGAACAATCATTGATAGCATCTACGAACTGGTCACAGTTGTTTGTTCACTTAAGTACTTTGCACAATAGCGTCGCGTGGGACAGAAGCGCGTTAAACGCTCAGTGTCGTATATGTCGAAGGCGTAGGGATGCGGAGAACATGTTGCTTTGCGATGGATGCAACAGGGGACATCATCTCTATTGTCTGAAACCAAAACTTACTGTAATAAATAAGTTCATTATATTGATGCTTCTACATTGACTGAACATTATATTATTTTCTTGTTATTTCTTATATGCAGGCTGTACCAGCAGGAGATTGGTTTTGTACAGCATGCAGACCACCGGAAATAAAACCCAAAGAAAAGACTCAAAAACGGAAAAGATTCGAGGATGAAATCGAAGAAGAGACGATGTTAACCAAAGAGACGCGACAAAATCGTGCGAAGCGCATACACAGTGATGACGAGGATGACCAAGAGAGTGACGATGAAGATGATGAAAGCGAAGAAGACATGTAAGTTATCTTAGCATTAAAATTTTACATTAGCTTAATATTCTTAATAATATTTATTTGCTTTCTTCTGTCGTTTTAGAAATATACGATTAGAAAACTTATGCGCATCGTGTAAAAATGGTGGAAAATTGATTGCTTGTGACACATGTCCAAATCGTTTTCACTTAGAATGCGTAGAACCGCCATTGTCGAGAGCTCCTAGAGGCAGATGGTCTTGCACCATATGCAAGAAAAAAAAGAACGCGATAAAAGGTAATGAAGAAATAATAACGGAACAATATACGGACAAAAATGTCTTAAGGGTTTATTCTTCTGTTATAACTTATGAAAAAAAGTTTCCACGTTTAACATAGATGAAATTATTAGACAAGTTGATATAAAAATATTATAAGAAAAATTTCTTAGCGTTAAAATTATGTTGATAGTGAGGGGGTATGAAAGAGAAAGAAACAAGGTGAGGCTGTGCGCAGCAGCAGCACGCTCTCGCATCCATGGCTTTGCTAAGAGCCTCCTCACTACTGAATCTACAGACTGGGACGGTCTGTATTGTATTCCTTTTGTTTTGTGTTTATATATATATATATATATATATGTATATATGTGTAGCATCTTCATGGCCAAATTTTGCATCTTCATTTTTTTCTTTTTTGAAAAGCACCGCACATTAAAAGAGATTAATTATTCATCATTAACATAATGAACAGTTTATAATTTTTATTTTGAGATTACATATGAACCTAACCAAATAATGAATTTACTATAAATTATTTACTGTGTCTTTTTCCGACATTTTATTTTTAATTATTTTTTTAATGTTTATATCAGATTATGTATTGCTATTTACGTTTTCGAAATTATTTCTCTTTCGTTAATATATCCAGACATCAGGAAAATCATATAATATTCCTTGAAGCCTGACGCTACTATTCTTATTGGATATTAACAAATTTGATAAATATATAAATACTCTAGATTTATATTAATATAAATTTGGATTAATTTTACAATGTCGACTATTTATCGATAAAATGTATAAGTCTTATACATTCGACATATAATATTTTTATATAAAATTGAATATTTTAATTTGAAATAACATATGGCACAATATATGCACACATGCACACATACATATAATTCTTGTTTTGACTTCTGAGTAAAATTTATGGACTTTGGAACTATATCAAATACAAACGGCGACTACAAGACATTAGATAAATTCTTAGGACTTATTAGGGGACAGATCCTAACATGGCATTACATAAATGCTTGATTTCCATCATGTAAATGCTTGATAAATGCTATATTGTATCATCTTGGTAATAAGATCGTAAGCTATTGCTAATCCATATATATATCACATAAATATCATCGATAGAACTAGAATTTTAGTTTTAATGTAGCCTTCAAGTATTTAGTAAATAATTTCGAATTGAAATGACAAAAACGTGATATGCTAATATAAAAATTTTTAATGTACAGATAGCAGTACATCGGATGACACTGAACCGAGACAAACGCGGCGTGCAACTAAAAGAGCCGCCGAGATTGAACAAGGAGACAAAAATTCCATTAAGGGATCTATGAGTAGATTGCAAGAATTATTGACTGAAATTTGGCATCACAGAGATTCGTGGCCATTTTTATCACCCGTTAGAAAGGATGAGGTTCCAGACTATCACGATATTATCTCTAGTCCGATGGACTTTGGAACTATCAAGTACAAACTCGGTAACGGCGACTATGAGACACTAGATAAATTCTTTAGCGATTGCCAGTTGGTTTTTGAAAACTGTGGATTGTATAACAAAGAACATAGTACTGTGTACAAGTAGGTATCAACATTATCGTTATGTATTTTACGCAAGTTCGGATGCCAAAGATCACAATTCTAATTAATATTACTTCATTATTTACGTATTTCTACATTATTAACGATAACACATTGAATATGATTAACGTCGTATAATTATTATTAATAACAAAATAATAACATAATAAATTAACATCTCTATTATTTTTTATATTGTACGTATACTAATTTTTGACTTGATATATTAGGTGTTGGAATTAATTCGTAGCGTTTTTAATGAAAGAATGTTATTTATTTCACATGAGCATTAAAAAATACATTAATAAAAGTACTTCCCATCACTTGTAAAACGCTACGAATTAATTCCAACACCTAATATGTATAAGTAAATTCTTAATAGAACTATTAGATGTGATTCGGATTGGGACTGTAGAATATTATAAATCTAACAAAATATAACAAATATCAACAAAATTAGGGTTTATAATTCAGTAAAATAACTATCGTAATATAAAAACTATCGTAGCCTACGAATAGATAAATGGATGAACTATTTTGTGATTGATCTTAATGGATGAATTCGATTTTTATCTCTCATAAAATTTGCGAACGTATTAATTCATTTGTAACTTTAGTACAAGTAGAGTTTTGCTGTTATTGATGTAAGTAATCTTTTGCCTCCGAACCAATTTGGAAATGTGCATATAAGAAACAAGGCTATGTCTTGTTAAAAATAGTTACGTGTATAGTGCAGGGATGCGATTACGCAAGTACTTTGAGAAACGCTGCAAAGAATTAGGCTTGAATTTCGAGGACGGACTTTTCCAAGAAGAAACCAGAAAGATAAAGAGGCAGAGATTGAGCGATGCCGAAGAAAACGATACGTCGGAAAGTGATGACGACGAAAGAGAAGTGCAGAAGAAAAGATAGAATAAAGAAGATTAAATATACATTATATTTCATTACGATGCATACTCATGAAATTTAAATCTAGAGCCGCTCATATTTTATATATTTTGAACTCAGCATATATGTGGACTTGTATACCGATATTGAGCGGTTGAAAGATTCTGTATGTAGCTCAAGATACTTGTAAATTATATACTTTGATTTTTTCAACAAACTAATATAAAATTACACCGACACAAAAATTGATGGAATAGTACAATTATGAATTATGAGAATTTATTTTACATAATTATTGCAAATATACGAAAAAAATTTTTTTTTCTATGGTCGATTTCTACGAGGCTTCTTGTAATAAAGACATACACACAGTATTATTTGCAGGAATACATATAGCTGCACATATATATACCTTTAGATGCATCACGCACTCAGAGCATTTCAAAATGATGACATACAACTCATTAGTTTCAATTTGCTTCAATCAGTACAAGAATTGCACTATTTTCTCTATAGATATCTAACAGAAAGAGATGCTCGACACATTTTCGCATCGATCAATTTTATTTATTATTTTAGTATTAATCATATAAAGCGGCAATTTATACTCATTGCCGTAGTCATTAAGAATCGCGTAAATGTATACATGGTAAGTCACACTATAAATTTTGTTTTTCTCGGGATCTGTACGCGAGCTTTAATAATAGAACACGAGCACAGCTTTCAAAAAAAAATTTTAGAAACGGCGTTTATAAAAATTTACGTTTGTAGATTCAGACAATAAATTGGATACTTTTGTACTGCGTGTTCTGTGATTGTTATGTATTGAAACATTAATGTTCTGTAAATTTCTTTTTTTTTACAATACTTATTTTTTGGATATTTAGTTTGTTATTTTTAACAGTTTTCAATTTTTAGGATAGATGTATACTATGTCAAAATTTCTTGTATTATGTAGTAATCACAAAAATGCGTTCTTTTTAGTCATGTATATTTTATACGATTATTTTAATAATTAAACTTTCAAATAGATTTTTTTTACAATTTCCTTGTGTCTCTCCATAATTTATTTCACATATGCAATTACAGATTTATTTGTTCTAATTAGAGAAACGACTAAGTTGTTTTTTTCTTACACATGTTCATTTTTTACTCTAATTATATTTCTACTTCAATGATGGCCGCCTGGAGTGCCGTAGAACATTTCGTGATGGATTTTTTCCCATTTCGCAACATTCTCGGGAGAATATGCTGGAAATAAGAACACAGTAGGTGATACATAGTCTAAATCAAATATTGAGACAAGCTATTACTTACATAATTTTTGAATTTTATAGAATACGGGCAGAGTTACGAATAGGCTTAAGAGATAATATCTGTATAGCCAACTATGCTGTATGTAATGTTTGTATGGAAACTGAGCAATCTTCGCGGTTAAGGTATATGGATACTTCATAGGTCGATGTGTACCTTGCGACATGTTGGTTGTCTATAACAAATGAATTAATCACAATTAACTTATTTACGTAAATGACAATAGTAATATGTTACAAAAGATTTGTGTGAAAAATCTCAGCACAATTGCAAGAGGATTAAGTGTTAAAGTACTTAGTACTTAGTATATCATCAGGTATCCAAACACAGGTTATTTTGCACAGATAACCTATAAAATTATGGAAAGTTTCTTTTCGTTACTTTTTCAAATCAGACATAAATGGAGATTACACATGATTCATATCATTAGTGTGAATAAAATGAGTTTGAAATAGTACAATATTTATATATTGACTAATAACAATTCTGATCTTCAAAGGAAGGAAATGACATGTCATTTAGAAATTATTTATAAAAATTGTCGCTAGCAATAAGTATTACAAAAAGAAATGGTTAGCATGTATTTCATGCTTTTTTAATTTCACGTTTAACATAATTTTAAATTACTCACTATTTCGGATTTATAATATGTGACAATTATGTGGAATTATGTAATATATCTAGAAGAGATTTCTAAAGAGCTATCTTCCAAATCACAAACGGATACGATAAATGGGACAAATGGATATAATGGTACATTCACATAAACAACATAACAGCAGAGTATTCAACTGTCCAAACTAAAGTTACTAGATATACGGAAATTAGTCCATTTGATATTGGATCATCTAAAAAGTATCCGCGGTACTTTATCACTAGATATATGACCATCAACACACATCTAGTGACAAAAAACCGCGAATACTTTTTAGATGACCCAATATTTAAATGCTTCAAGCATTTTTGATTGCCCAGTTAGTGAAATTCTTTCTTCTAATTGGTCAATAAAATGCTTCGAAGCATTTATAGCATCAAGTGGACCCGAAAGTTAAGGACTGCTCAGAATCAAAGAATTGATGGCTCTTGATAAGCCAGTGGCAAGTTTTCCTGCTGGATTGCTAGCTGGATTAGAATCTTTCTCTGCTACCGTATTGGCTGCAGTGCTGTCGTGTCAGTATTGTGTGCAGGCTTTAGGAACAGAAAATAGGAATTTTAACCTATCAAATTTGCATTGCCGAATGCAGAGAGAGTTTAGATCTCAAAGTATAGTCCAATCAGTGTGAAGAAAATTTCCAACAATTGCAAAATAAAGCAAGACCAATGGCTGCATTCAGAGCTTTGCAATTGTGTAAAATTCTTTGATGTGATTGGTCTTGCCCTTAGTTCCTTATTAGATCTAAATATAAACCAATTATATTGGGTCATCTAAAAAGTATCCGCGGTATTTTGTCACTAGATATATATGACCATCAACACATATCTAGTGACAAAAAACTTTTTAGATGACCCAATATTTAACAATTTTATAACAGTTGTTTTTTCGCAAAGCTGTTTTTTCTGCTGAACGCAGCTAATCATATCAAAGAATTTTACAACAGTTGCAAAACAATTTTTTCGACTGAATGCAATCATTCTAACGAGCGCATTGGAATGAGAATGATAGAAGCATGTGGAGTATGCAACACGAATAAACTTTTAACAAACGTATTTTCGTGGAATAAAAATTACTTCTAAACTGTGAAATATTCAACTTTATTTGAGAAATCCAATTATTTGCAATAATTTAACGCATCAACTGAAAATGCAGTCCTTTTCTCTTTTTCTTATTTCTTTTTTTCGTAACAACAGATGATTTGTCCTTGATCGGTTTTCATATTTCAACAAATTAGAGTATCCGTTCTTAATTTTTCCTTTTTAGTCATCATTTAATAATTTGGCCAAACAATAAACTAGTTCTGAACTTAATACAAAACTTCAACTGTAACATCGATGTATAATAAAGTTTAAATGAAATCTATATTGCAGGTAGAATGCCTGCAATATAAAAGTTTATTATTGCTTGTCATTTTTCATTTCATTAAAGCGTGTACCACTGCTTTGGCATTCAATGATTTCAGGTCAGTGTAAGTTTGGCCAGTTCCAACAAAAACAATAGGTTGACCAGTGATATATGTCATTGTAATAGCTGCGCCAACCTGCAAATAATATTCATGAGAAATGATTGTAAATGCTACAATAATAAAAAAATAATAGATATTATAGAGGAAAATATATTTTTATACATATACATATATATGTATGTGATTTATTATTATATATAAAATACAATAATTGATATATATATGGGCGCGCGCGTGTATCTGTGTGTGTGTGTGTGTGTGTGTGTGTGTATATATAGATGGTATATATTTCGTATATTGATGGTAAATATTTTTTTAGGTATTGATATAAAGATCAGAGGTTCTACAAAAAAAAATGTAATAAAAGTCATTTAAAAAAAATGTATAAAAGAAAAACTTACTTTATCATCGATAGTATCAAATTTTGTCAACACGATACCATCGATCATATGAGGATTGGCAGATTGACTGTAGTCAGCCAAAGCTTGATTGAATTTTACCAGCTGATCCACAGCCTCATTCCCAACGAGAGCTTCCCCCACAAATAATACCAAGTCCGGCTCGTTAACTTTAATTAGCTTTGCCAGAGCTCGCATCAATGGTTCATTATCTTGCATTCTACCAGCAGTGTCAACCAGAACAACATCAATTCTGGAATCTTTCGCAAAGCGTATCGCCTCCATGGCAATACCTGCGGCATCTTTACCATAACCTTTCTCATATAGCTGCACCATCGACTGATTCCCATGTTTTTCTGGTGGATGCAGAGCATTCAAATGACGCATGTGAGTTCTCAGTTGTTCAACAGCTCCAGCTCTAAATCACAAAATTATTGTCATTATAAACTCTTATACATTAACTTTTATTAGAATTTATATTAACAGAATTGAGGATTAACAGAATTATTGACAAATTAATACCTTAAAAAAAATTATTTTAGAAGTAAGACGTTTAAAACAAATATATATAATGCAATGCGTGCTTAAAGAAAAAAATATATAAAAAAGATATGTTTCAAGAGACATATATTTATAATGAGATAATATTTATTTACCTAAATGTATCGCATGCGGCTATTAACACGCGGAAATTGTTTTCTATTAACCAGAAACAGATTTTTGCCAGATTCGTCGACTTGCCGACCCCATTGACGCCACAAAAAGTCATCACATAAGGCCTGTTGCTGTTCTTAGCTTCTAAAGCGTCTCGTAGAATATCGATTCTCCTTTTGGGCGACAATATCTGTACTAAAGCGTCTGTTAAAGTAGCTTTCACAGTGTTTGCCACACTATCAAAGGTGCCGAGTATCTTTCCTTCCAATTTTGTGCCGACAGAATCGCATAATTTCTGCGCGATGTCCGCAGCAACATTTTTAGTGATTAGATGATCTTTCAGTTTCTCCAAAACCGGCAACATATCCTCTTGCTTTAGAGATTTGCTGCCGACTAGACTCTTGAACATAGAGAACATACTCGTTTTCTTTTGCACTTGCTGCTTGGATTGCTCTATCTCTTCCTGATCGGAACTATCCTCAGATTCGCTGTTCACTTCGAGATCGCGTATGCTACCTTTCATCTGTCCAACTAGCTACAGAAGATAATGAGAATATATAAATAAGCAATATAAATAATAAAAGTATAAATCGCAATTTCTTCGACTAAAAGTCAATTCATTCAATGCATTCTTTTTCTTTTATATTTTCTTTGATTGTTTTTTTTTCAAATTATATTCTTCAATCCATTATTGTAAGAATTAATTAATTATATATTCAGATACATAAAATTTTTTGAATTTTTGCACGCGCGCGCGCGCGCGCACACAGAAATTTCAAAAAAATAAAAAATAGAAAGATACAAAACGTGATTAATTATCAGTTAGAGATATCAAATTTATTAAAAGAAATTATAAGATTTTTTGTCAATAGAAATAGGAAGCAAATTCTTCAATAAATTTAAAAGAATGTAAAAGAAAAAATATTACAGCTGTATTGGCTGCCACATAGTCGTCATTCTCCTCAGGTTTGTCTTTAGTTCGCTCTAGTGTAGCAAGATCCTTTGTTGTGCCGCCCAGTTCCCAGATGCGTGGTTTTTTGCCGGCTTTCTCAGGTTTAGGACTTTTCCTATATAACATTTGTTTTCATGTTATTTAATTTTTAAATTTATGGTTTTATACATATATAATCCATAATAAAAATAAACAATTCTTTATAAAAATAGAATTAAAATATGATCTACATTAAATATTTGATTAATTTAGTTTAAAAAAAAATCTGAAAAATTTCTTTTTCTAATATTAACGTGATTTAATCTTAATATATTAATATAATTAAGAAATTTAATCCTAATATATTAATATAATTAAGAAAGTGATATTATATATGCTTACTGCTTGTCAGCTTTCTTCTTTTGTCCTGCCATTTTCTGAGCAAGTTTCATACGATTGGCGATCAGCGTTTCTTCGTCAAGTTCTCCGTTATGTTCCGCTTGATGTTTCGGCAATTCCTGTTTTGGAACATCTTGAATTTTTGCTGCAGGATTTAAATATATTTAATTTAATACAAATCACTGAATAAAGAGAAATATTCCAAACAAAACTTTAATAAAATGAAGTTACGTTTGTTAATTTAATTATTTTATTCATGCAATATTGTGCATATTATGCAATATTAAAATATGCAATACTGCACCAACATGCAAGGATTTAATAAACTATTGTAATATAAAATATTAAAGCTTACTTACTATGATAATCCCCATTACAGTTATTTGCTTTCTTCTTTTTACCTAGAAGCGAGGAAGAAAATGCCTATTGTTTTAGTATTATCCAGATTGGAAGGAGAAAATTAGTGAATAAGAATAGCTTATAATTCTAAATGTTACATAAATTTGCTTACTGTCTCATACCGCAAAAATAAAACAAGCACGCGATACTCCTACATTTTTATTCTACTATACTATACTTCTTTTTTCCTTAGGATGTTGTTATTGCATAAATTTTATTTTCGTAATTTCTGAATTTTCCCCTACACAGCAAACCTGAATATTATGAATGACTACAAATAAAATTCACCCTTCTTTTGCGCCTTTCTTTTAATTATTTAAATTTTACAATTCGAGCTCATTTGTCTCAAATATAAATAAAGCTATGTACACTGTTATTGTATTATAAAGTAATTGTTATACTGTTAGTTATGGCTATACCTGGCTTCTTATCGTCTTTATCGTTTTTCCTCTCAATCATACTAGCGACAGTCTTTTTGGACTTTTGACTCTCGTCAAAGGTACGCATTTGCTTCGGTATCTTAGCCTGTGAACGTGACCAGTGTTCTGCTCGTTCAAGCACCATACGATAAGCATGTTCAAACTCGAAGTTGGTGAACCAGCTTGAGTTTTCAAGTTCATTCTTGAAGCGATCCCTAAACTCTAGATGGATGTCATTCAGAAATTTATCCACGTAAGATAACTGTAGTATCTTCTGATATGCCACTACAAATACCAATTCAAACTCATTGTCGAGTTTATATTGTAGTCGCAAGGAGTCATGCTCGAAGCTGTGATTCCCTGTACGTTCCTACAAAAAATCAATTTTTATAACAAATTATAATTTATTTCTTAATATTTTCTAGAAAGAGAATTTTAATAATATATGTTATAAGGAAAACAGAAATAAAACATTTATTTTATATAATATTGTATTTCCATATATATATATATATATGAGTATGTATTATATAGATATAAAAGCTTCAATTCCACCAATACTGATATTTAATTTTTGAGAATTATTATCCAAATAAACTTTCAAAGAAATATAAAATATAGGAAACTTATTTTTTTTATAATATCCAATCTTTTAATTTTAATTTTATTTTACAGGATAAGGAATATTTCACAAAATATATAATTAGATTTGATAATTTGATTTCCAACCATATGGTTTATTTAACCTAACGACCTCGTTCTTAGCATTATATATAATTAATTCGCATATTAAAAAAATATTTAAACATCTTAAAACAAAGCTTTATATATTCGATTTTTTTTTAGATAATACAATTATTTATGAAAATAATAAATTGAGAAAAAAATTAAAATTTGGAGATGTAAGGACAGATATTTATAGAGTTGCAGCATTTTTTTTCAAATAAACGGGATTATTATCGAAGAGTCAATTAAATGGCTCGAATGTAAATTTAACGCAAGGAAATTGAGGAAATGCATCACGCAATTTAGGGTCAAAGGTCACCAAACGTAGTGCCTGTCAATGTATTTTTGCGACTCACTTGCAATATAACACTTCTTATCAAGGCATTAACGCTGGGTGCGAAAATCTGAGATGTGCTCTGGAAGCACCAGAGCACTATGCCACCCTTGCTGAATATTGTAAAAAGATCGAGCATGATTTCACGATTTTGAATGCGAGAGAGAAAGAGAAAGCCTGTCTCTCGGACACAGCCACAACTTTCGACTTAACCTACTGGCGTAGTCAGACTGTCAGAGCAACTGAAATGGTAAAGCCATGATGGTCTCAGCAGAAACCTGAAAGAGGACATGACAGCCTAAAATCTGTAACTGCAAAATGCTGCCGCGCACTACTGTCCTCTGAAGAAGTGAATGTTAACTACACAACAATATGTTCTTTCAGGTTTCTCTCTGCCGTCGATATAATTTCGTTAAATCCATTTTCCAATACCGTATACATTATACTTTATATTTTTATATTTGCACAGTTAAAATGATTCACAATTTATAATTGCTTATTATTTTATAAGTTCTATTTCTCTTTCATATAATTTTTTCGATACCCTTCATTTATTTATTCTAATTGGTTATTAATGTTTTTGGAAAAAATATAATTTCTAGTCCGTATTTAAAACACTCTTTTATGTTTGAAATTCTACAATATATACGTAAACGCGAACTAAATATATGCTAACATCGTAAAAGCGCTTGCCGAATTGTACAGGCTTCTCTATCTTATCAAAACGCACGGTTCCAAATTCCGAAAAAGACTGTAATTTCTTACGCGTAGCATTTATATACCATATTCGGAAAGCTAGCGCGGTCCAATAAGCATCCGCAGCGAGGCATCGCGCTCATTGGCTGGCATGCGAGTGGTGGGGTTCGCCGCTTGACGGCTTATATAAATACCGCGTAATTCGTAGTCTCACGCTTTTGTGACGTGAGCAGGGGGCGGGCGTATAACCTGTCATTTTAACGTTGAAATATTCGCAACCCTGTCTCCAAATAGATAGACTTTTTCTCCATATTTTAATCTCTGCTGATAAAACGACGAGAAATGGCACAAAGGATCGTTCATCGTTGGATTTCTTTACTAAGGTAATCAATAATTAACTTTGCCTTTACTTTTCGTAATAGTGTAAATATTACGTATTGCAGATTCTAATGTATATAGTACTAACACACTGATTATTTGATCGAAAGTATATTTCTCGCATACTCGTTCGATCGAAAATCAAGATTGCGCGTTGTCATGTCGTCGCGTCTCGCGTCGTTTTTTACGCGTGAAGTTGACCGCACACGGAAAACGTCGCCGCTTCCTTATTTCGATCGCATTCACATTTTATTCGCGAAAAGCGGCGGATAGAGAATGACACGGCGGAACGAACTGGCTCTCAGACGAGTAGAAATGCGCGATCAAATATGGTAATTAAAATCTATATAATACTTGAATATATAACTTAAATGCATATTTTTATACGCGATATTTAACTACCGACTATAGATTCAGTAATCGCATATTAATAATCCATTCAAACGCGTATTTCGCAAAACTTGTTCGCTGAAAGTATATCTCTTAAATAATTGACGATGAGATTTTCGAATATTCAATCTGCAATACGGATATAATAATCATAAAAGACGAGTATATTATAATATACGCTTGCTCTTTATGATTATTATTTTTGTATTTCAAGTATCAGATATATCTCGTAATTCGGAAAATTCATGAATGCGACGCCAAGAGTGAGAAGTGCACTACGCCGCGTCGTTCGCATCGATTTTGGTACGCGAAGTTAACCGCGTAAAAACAAAGCTGTCTCGTCATCTTAATTACAACTACGATTCATTTACACATCTCAATCTGTAAATAAAGCGCAAATATAATTAAGAGACGAGATTGGCATTGATCAAATGATAATTGAATGACTTATATTAAACCTGTATTTGTTATTTATTGCAACACTTAGTGTTCGCGCAATTACAGATTCACAATAAGAATACAATATTCACTTATAAGTTATAAGAGAAGGACGCGCATTGCCACCGTGCCGCGACGGCACGTCGCTTTTAGTGTGAAATTGATCATGTGAGAGACGAAATTACTTCGACACAATAATTGCATTTATGTTTTATTTGCAGAATGCGGCGAATACGAGATGATCGGCTCTAAATGAATGGCGTCGCGATTTATTAAATTGGTAAGCAAAATTTATATTAATTTTATATCGATAATTCGTTCAAGCACGTATTTAACAATACTCGTGCAGTCGAATAGTCTTTGATGCGTAAATTCAACTGTCCAGAAATTTTTCTCTATTTTAGATGCATTCCAATGTCCAAATTTTATTTGTAAAATATCGCAAATATCAAACATGATAAATTTTCTTATTTTTTTTACTGTCGCAACATGAATTATATCACATCTAATTAATATCGACTCATTTAATTAATATACGAACAAAATAAGACATAGTTGCATTATTTAGTTCCGCTTTCATGCTCACATGATGTAAGCATCAGTTCATCCTTGTTTATCAAATATCAAACAAGGATAAATAATGTTTGCAAGCACTGTAAGCGCAAAAGAGAACGCATTCTTAGCAATTTGCAACTGCATTTAATTTTAACAAACTATTTTTTCAACTGATGAAAGCTGTCACAAAGCAAACAATGGGAAGAGAACAGAGGTGAAAAGCAGGCTTGACAATTTTGTGAGGAGGAGGAGAAGAAGGCTCAGGAAAAGCAATGAAGCAACTTTTACGAAGCAAGTTTAGTTTATTACATTAAAAATCATAATTTAAAAAAAATTAATCTATAACATTACAGAAATTTATTTTTATAAAGACTATTTTGATAAAATGTATAATTATTTTAATGGATATTTTTATAATTGAAAAATTAAAAAATTATAAAAATATTATAAAATATTATAAAAATTTTTATAATTAAAAAATTATGTATAAAAATTAGTTTTTTAATTATTGATTATTTTGAACACTATTTTAATTTGTATCTTGTATTTGTATGTTGTATACAGAATGTAACGTAACTGATAACTCCACTGCTGTGCATCAGTCGGTCTTCCCTCTTCTTTTATTGATATGCGCAGTCATCTCAGCCGCGATCAGGCCATTAACCGGTTAGTGAAGATGTATGATGAAAATATAATAGAGAACTTTCCACGGCTCTATACTGAGAGGTCGGAGCATCGGTCGGTGAGTGACAAAGATTTTATCAGGTAACGAACCTGTGAAAAATGTACAGGTTTATCATTATATTAGAAATGAATATAACGCTTTATAGATTCATTACTTTAAAATGGATTAGCTACAAACAATTATGATACATATTTAATCTTGGATTTATCTATTATTTGTCAACTTGAGCGTTTTGGTGTGCTATTGTGCTTGAGGCTATTATGTTTATACCCGGAAAAAAAAAAAATTTCATATATAATTATATAAAATTGTAAAATTAATAAAATTATATATATTAATAAAATAATAAAATTATATAATATTAATAAATCAAGTAAGAACATGAATAATTAATTTTATTTGTTTAATTTTATTGAATTATTATTTGATTCACATATATTGGAAATAATTTTTTAACTCAAAAGGATTTTGAATAAAAATTCTTTTCTTTACTAACAATGTTAAATCAGAAAAAATATTTATACAAAATTGCATTTTAATAAAAATAAGCTTGGTGGATATAAAAAAATTACTGAAATATTTGATTTTTAAATTAAAATTGATGAAATAAATGATGAAGAAGTAAAGAAAAAATAAAGTTTTGTATAAACAAAATATTACGAATTTTAAAATTCAAAGAATTTCACAGATTCTTTTATTTTTAAATTAGTACAGGATATTCATATATTCAATATATATGATATAAAAATAAAGAATATTTTGATATAGCAAACCTATAATTAAACGAATTATGCATTTATATTTTCCTTAATTTCATTCCCAAATATTTATCCAAGATTAAATATGCTATAAATTGATGCAAAGAAAAAAAAATATTTTTGCAATGCGTATAAATGAAAAAATTGTCCTTTACAAGAAAAAAATACAATAATGTTATTACAATGACTGACTAATCTTATCTTACACATATCAAACATATTAGGTGTAGTAAAAAGAAATCCATTATTTTTCCAATAGATGGCTTTAGTAATC